TTTGATGACCCTTTTTTTAATAACTCCAACAAAAAGGGTAATCTGTTTGATACGGATTTAATGAACATAAAAAAGATTTTATATTAAAACTTAAAAACGCAAAACTGCTCATTATAAACCACAGAAATGATGTTTTATAAACTTTAGAGCAAACATATAACCACGACTATCTCATTTCAACAGTGTCCTTCTGTTTAAAATATAGCATCGTACACAGCGTCGAAAACAGCGCTGTCATGGGATTAGACGTTCGATCAAATAAAACCTGCTTGAAAATGTAATAAAGGTGCGACAGCACTGTATAGTTTTGGGTTTTGATAAGTATATATTAATTTGAAATGTTGTTTTAGACCAAAAAATGTCACTATTTTAATTATGAGCTTTCATTACATTTATCATTATAAAAAAGTTATTTCAATTATTTTAGAGTTTGGTAAATATTGTAAAATACTCCAAAATGAGAGCACGACAAAGCTTATTTGACATTGAAAGAAGTTAGCACAATACTTTATTTAAATAAATGCATTATTTGTTCGAGTCTAAAAGCTTATTTTCGATATCCATTTTTCTATAACGGGTTATTTTGATGCTAATCATATAACCTTATAACGATCGATAACTCGACCATATGCTTTACAATTTTGGACACGTAGTAAGTATATATACGCGACCTATTGCTCTTAAAATTGAAAGGGGTTAGACCTTGTATGGTTCAAAGTGCAGGGTGGTGAAGCTGATGAATGAAAGTTAATTGTATGCAGCAGGAGGTTGTGTTAAATAACGAGAATGGATATAGTAAACAATCAAAGATAAATTGAAAAGTAACGCCAATGACAGAGAAGTCGAGAAACAACAGACTAGGGAATGAACATTTGTGTGCAAAGAGATGATTTGCATGTAACAAATGTCAATGAATATGAATATGGACAGGAATGTAAAGAGAAAATGACCAAAGTAAAGATGCAAAAGGTAATGTGACGGTTGATAGTGAAGTATGGAGGAAGAATTAGGACAGTTGCAAGCAACTGATAACACTTTAAAAAGAGAAGTCAAATACCTAATTTCCAAATGGTCAATAATACAAAACGGGTATGAGGAGATTTTTTTTTTATAAAGTTCAAATAAAAGAAGTGCTGGAATAAGTAAAATATTATTGAATAATCGACATTCTACAATTCGATAAAAACATATCCACTTGACGTAATATCTAGGAAACCGTTAACATCGTACAGAAGTGACAGAGAAGATAAGTTTTCTGTTAATGTTATAGCTTCGTATCGCTGGTGTATATTTAATATATTAAATATACTATTTTACTATTGGTTTATTAATTACTTAGATATTCCGCAATATTAAAAACTTTTACCATATATCATATTTCTTCGGTTTCAGAAGTCTATGTTACATACAGCTCAAGGCAATGCGGATCGTAGTCACGCTTAATAAAAATAAAAGTAACAAACATTGCAATTGTAATGATAGCGTTAATATATCATTTCGTTAAAAACATTAATATTATAAAACTAGTTAGATCCGTTGATTGCAACTTAGATGTTGCTTCATAGAGTTAAAGAAGGTTACATTATAACAACCAATGAATGGCTCTAAATGAAACACGTGATGCTCGTGCGACTCAATTCATAATACATACTTGTAGGTACAATGGGAGACACCACTCAAAGGTTTCGCGAGTTGTTTTATTGAACAATATTTACCCACGATTTCAGCGTCGAAAATTACGTGAATATGCCTATATCCTTACTCAAATATGTAACTATCTCTGTAATTATAGTCAGTTCAGTGTTTTGGCCGTGAAAATCAATAGACAATTTTTTATTTACATTTATGGGAATATTATGTATTCTAAATTGTTTTATATTATCTCTATCTATTTTTTATATTATATAGGTAAATAGCTTTCCGTATGTGGCTTCGCCTGCTCGGTCCCTAGAGAACTGTTCAGTGGGATAAAAAGTAGCCTTAATTCGGGCTAAATATTCCAAATTTCAATAGACTATCTATTCAGCAGTTTTTGCGTGAAGGTTGACAAAATTTCGCATTTATAATATTAGTACTTAGGATCAAAGTTCAATTGTTAAAATCGCAATTTCGTGTTTCCCCAGTATACGAAATTCATTAAAATATTTATATAACAAAGTGATTTTCATAATCCTCATACCAAAAGTTGATTTTAAATTGTTTTAATAATTTAAACGTAGCGCACGAACCATCATTCTATTTCTGTCGCCATAAAACTTGATTGCTTTGATGCGATTTGTCAGGGACGAAATAAGTCCAACGATGTTGAATGGATTGGTTGAACGAACTCTTTGTATGTGACAATAACGTATTTGTATCTAATGGGCCTGAGATATAAAGAAAGTGTGTCATGGCCAGTGGCGTATTTAGTGGTTCAGCGCCCCGGGCCTTTTGCCTGTTCAGCTTTCATAATCTTCACTATCATCAGCACCATCATCATAATCAACCTATTAATATCAACAACGATAGGGCAAATCTATGAAGAATGAAATAGGAATAACTAGCCATAACTTACAATGTGATGCCAGTGAGCATTGGTGGGTTTTAACAACTGCAGATACAACCAGGTCCCATTCCAAAAGTCAACCTCTGCTTCGCAGATCAAACGCGCTACCCGTCAGCTGTCTTAGGCGTCCAGAAATTGAGAGAATAAACCAAGAATTTTTGGTAATAAGTAAAATAAATTATATTTACAGTGGCATATTTAGCATTAACTGAAAATACCACGTGAAAAAAAATGATACTTAAAAGTGCATTAAAAAATAATACGGCTGCTTACGCCCCTTTTGATCATAGGGCAATAAACCCCAGCTAAAAGTAAAAAAAAAAAAATATTTATATATTATTTGTTCTCTAACTAATTTTCTTTACATATATATTATCTAACAAAAACATTTATAAGGGAGTTTTCCTTACATGTGTCGATATACATTTGTTTTTTATATAGTATCTGAGGTAGTTTGAGCAACATTAATATGAAATACACTGTAATTTTTAGGTATAATTAATGTTAGTTATTGAAAAATAATAATATTTCGTAAATAAAATATTATTACTGTAACTTATAATTATGACTTGACATTCTAAAAATATCTACACGCTTGTTTAGAAATAAACAAGATTACTTAAATGACAACTGACATTTTTGCTTCACCTTTCATACAATCAAATAATAGTATGTATAGAAAAGTCTAGTCTGTTAACAATCACTAATTGCGAAAAAAACTACGCCATCAGAGAGTTAATCTATGTCGAGAGACCTTGTGGCGAGAATAACCAATACATATAAGCAATCGGGTGTCTGAAAATTATAATTTATTTTCAATGCATCTAATACAATGACAACCTATGTTCTAACATTCTGAGTAGCACAAAACGCACAATATAAGCCAGTCGTGTTAGTCTTATCAAGTGCACACGTACTAAGAATAGATTTTTGGAATATTCACGCGGTTAAATAGGATGCAGAACGTCTTCATCCTATTTAACCTTCTTAAGGGTACGAAAATCACTCGAAATACTTATTCCCCACACTCGAAGTTGCAAGTCCCAGACAATCATTAAAATTATGAAATTATTACTTTGAGTAGATAGTACATATCTACAGTATTAATATGAAATAGATATTAGGTTGAATAACTAATATTGATATGAAATATAAATCAGCTTCTAATTTATTATTTTATTTTGTCAAACATAATATTTAAATTCACACAGAATTAAGTTCACGCCTTATCGTATTCTTGAGCTTTTAAACGCCTGCATTTTGCCGAAAGGCAAAATTTCATTTGCACATTAGTTACTTACAAATTGGGTAAGTATCTAGATACTATAAGTAATTAAAATAATACTGAAAGATATACGAGATTTATGCGTCCGTTGGCAGTCAAACTATTATATAACTAGTTTTTATGAAAACTGTTTTCTCGTGCCTTCGCTCGCTTCAATTATAGCCAATGTCACTCGTGTATGACTTACCTTTCCGGGGTGAAAGAATTTTTATAATTGGTCCAGTAGAAATATCGGAGCCTATCATTGCAAATCAACGAAACATCAAATCATCCCTCTTCCTTTAAAAGATGTATAAAAAGACCATAAAATCTTAGATAAAAGGTGTGTATAAATATTAAAAATAAAGTGTTTTAATGATATAAGAAAGTACATGAAATTTTTTTAGAAACATTTATTGCATTGACTAATTAAATATTTCACAGATTTCAACATTCGAAACGTGGACATATGTCAATAGATATTTATGTATCGACGGTTCGTTTACAATTTATTATTACTTTAGTTAAAATATACAGTTTCCCTGAATTCAGCACCAGATATAAAATAATAATCCTTTAAATATTATGCACACGCAATTAAATAAAAATGTTCGAAAACTTCACAATATTTACTTGGTTTGCTCATAGCTAACAAAGTTATAAGCTCTTACATTTTGATCTGTTTATATTTAATATAATAAATTGTTAAATTAGTGCATCTTGGCAAAGATTCTGCAACATTAAATCATCTTGATGTTTCAGACACAACATAATTAGGCCAAGGGATATCCGTTATAGTGCTTCAAAAATATCTACTCCAGTATCAATGTACATTATAAACGAACGACTTTTTTATGCGGCTTTTATTAAAAAGTAGATAGAGCGCCTCAAGAGAAAGATTTTGGTTAGATGTGTAGGTAGAAGTATAAATAAAAGATCTGACTATATGAAGACGCTGACTGGGGGATTATTTACAATTAATTTCACCTGTCCAAAGCCTCAGCAAGTCGTTAGTTTTATTTTATTTAAAGAGATCAGTTATCTTACTCATTACTGACGATCTAATATTTTGCAAGATTATATTGCAATCATGCGACCTTCATCCTTACGATTGGATCCACCATATGAGTTTCTATGACGAAAGTGATTGTAATTACGACATTTTATTCGTTCAAATATAAACAACTTACAACTTACGAACGAGGTTTATTAAAAAAATAATAATGTTTTTAAATATTTACACATATTAGTTAAATAATAGTCTTAACAAAAATGATGGTTGTTAGATATGCTTCATTATGCTACATTAGCATAGTTTAGTTACAGCAATAATTTTAGAAGAGTACCGAATATTTTGATCTATAATAATAATTTAAATGGTTGCTTTGAAAAAAAAACATTTATTTTATTGTATCCGTTTGCATCGGATTTGGTCTCAGATACCAGGCAAGCATAAGTGCGCATGGGTAATTTGATTTATTACATGTGACGTGTGTTGCCGAAACCGCCGTGGCCTGACTGCGATGCTCCTTTGTTGAAACCCATTTGAAGGTTAAGCTCAGCATTGTGCGCTCTAAGCTGTTCCTCGGTGAAGGTACGTTCATTCTTGTCCGCCATCTTAGGACCTAGTTGTGGGCCAGTCCATTCGGGATGCTTCTGAGTCTGTAAAGTGATACGTCACGACTTATATATTCAATGGTAATTACATTAATCATTACTTGATTGCATTAGAGAATGCTTACAATTCTTCCAAGGGCGTACAGGCAAAGAGTCACTTGAGGAATGTTACGCCTCTCAAAAAGATCAGCTGTTTGGAAAATCTCCTCCTCGGGGACTCCGTATTTCTTAATGGCAGCTTGGAACCTGAAAACGAAATATAGATATCTCACTCAAATATATTTAGTTTTTATTTTATTTATTTATTATCAATAATATTTCACAATTTATAAGATACATTTCCAGGCACATTACAAACCACCAAGATTTTTAATCTATGTGCCATAGTTCGCTATATATCAGGTATTACATATCTAAGGTGTTCGCTATATATATGTTAAATAAAGGGTGATACCTAAAGCGGTGTAATTGTGATCGGAATATCATCTCTAATATAATTTTACAGTACAAGGAAGTATGTCTGCAGCACACAGTTAAAATCACCTTTGGATATTCTCCATCAGTTGGAAATTGGTTCCTCTCTCTTGGATTTTCTTAACTGAACCAGGAGATAGTTTGTTGATAAGCTTACATAGAACTATGCCATCCTTCAAGTAATCTTCGTACGGAACGGTAGCGACGGGCTCTCCTATAACTGCTGAGATCCAGTTCAGGACCTCCTGTTCCTGTTCCTTGTTTCTGGGCTAAACGATAAAAAAAATACGAATTTAGGTATTCAGTCTTTAATAAGCGCTGCTATAGGCGGAAACTGTAAATCATTGGTTCACAAAATCGCAGTAGATCTTGTTATTTGATAGCTGGCAAATTATTCTGTATAAGTCATTTTCTTCCAGTTGTGTGGAAGTCAAAAACTATCTAATATTTAAATATCTCAGTTATATTTGTAGTTTAAGAAAAGAGAGATAAGCCGTTGAGTGTTTTTTTTTCCGATTTCAATACATTCTTTTTAGCGTCGGTTGCCAAGTAAATATAGGTACCACGTGATATGAAAGAGTCATTTAAAAACAAGTCTTTTTACACAATACGACATAGCAACGAATGTATAGCAAATTGTATATTCGTTCTCGTTATTCAATTTTCAATATAAAATCTTCTTTGTAACGTACAGTAAAGCGTCTTTACGTAAACTCATTCTATTTACATCGCTAGAACGATAATAAGATGGATTAGTGGGTAAGATTCTTTTGAAACTTGTGGGCATATGCAAGTCTTGAACGACGGCCATAAAGTAGTTAGTTCCAGTGCCAAGTCGTTCGATGGTGGCTACTTCCAGCATCATCTCCAAAAATAACACACACACTAACGTTATGACAGATATCTTACGCACTTTCTGGAAATAGGGATTTATTAACCACGATTTTGATGGATTTGTATAAATTGTTATGAATTTTTACTTTTACTTGTTGATTGTTGTACACAATAACACTGAAACAACAAAGACTTCAAAACAATTACCTACTATCCAAAATCATCGCCACATTTTCGAATAATTAATGACCAATAATTATCGATGCATTTACTGTATATTTCGACTAAATATACAGTAAATGCATCGATAATTAAAAATAATCAAAACAGCATGTTTGCCTTTCATAATCGCTTGTTATTTTGATCAACTTATATGAAAAAGTTCCAAAATGTTTAATTATTTTACAAATACTATATTGTATATCAAAACCGTGCTTCTAAAAATAGGAATTAACACTAAGAAACAGCATTCACATAAAGAGAAATGGAACAGACATCATCAATACGAGAGGCAGCTGCGCGTGAATCGTTAATCTCAAACAAGTAATGACGTCAATTATGATGTTATGCTTCAACTATGTGATTTTGAATTCAAAAAGTAAATATTATTTATAAAGGCATACATTAAAAACATTAAAGCACATCAAATCAGGTTACTGTTATGCTGATAAATAAAAAAAATATATATTAACTACTTTTTTTCATTGGAAATTAGTCAAGGGATTCTTACGTACCGCCATAGTATTGCTTTTATCACAGAACTTTAAAAAAAAACTAAATTTAAATAGAAACGGGCTTCTTCCACGCCGACAGTTTAAATACTGATGTGCATGCGCCGCCCGCCTAGAGAAAAAGCGTCGGAGGCGGGCGGCACACATAATTTATTTTATTTCTTACGTATCTACCCCGATGTAAACATAACCGGTCATTTTTATAAACACTCGCCGATGTATAAGACATAAATGTGTATGTAATCGATTTATGAAATGGATCTTGGGAGAATTTCATATCAGTTTCTTGTGACTCTTCAGTCATAAATATATCTAATTTAAATTTCATTTAATTGAATGCATTTTCAAAAATATCAGTTTTTTATACTTATTTTTTATGCTACTATCACAACTAAAACAAAACATTTCTTTGTTTTACTATATTGAGCTTTTGTAGCGTTGAAACTGTTTATCGATTTAACTTTTTTGAAATAAGCTTCTAGTCAAGATGCAAAGGATGAAAACTAATGAATATTGTAAAACCTAGAAAACGTGAATTTTTTTCTGTGCATTGAGTATATGCCAAAAACTTGAGTAAATTAGAAATCGATATGTGTGCAATGTGGTAAATCTTAATACAATCTAAGTGTCAAATATAAAAAAGCGACGTGGATCTATTGTCTTCTATTGTTTTCTCCGATCTCGTCAAAGACCATTGTTAGCGATGACATATTTATAAATCTCCATTATTTTCAGTGGTAATATAGGAACGTGGCGATATAAGAATGTTAGTATGTAAATAAATCTCATACAAAAAATTCGCTTCGTAAGTTTTCAATCCTCGTTTCTTCTTTCTTTGCAGTATATGTAAGAAAGAAAGAAAGAACATATGGGTCTGGTATAAATAGGAGAAGTAAATTATTGCTTTCTCCAAATACGTCTACTGGCTTGAACAGCAAAATCAAAAGAAAACGTTACAACAAACTTAAGAATAGGGCACACAAAATAACTTAATACTAGTGATGTTTAAGAGTATCATGACGTGAGTTTGTCGAATTTTCGAGCCGATGACATAGTATTACGACATTTAGAACTGTTTTTATATGAATATAAAGGAAGCTCAATTTTTATTATAAGAAAACATTTACCAGCTTTATGTATTTGTATGAGCATGCTATTATTGTTTTTTTTCAATATTCACACCAATCTTCATAAAATTTCTGCAATTTACCAAAAAGTATACCTTGCTTCTAATTATCTGCTGCAAATTATTTCATCCAACATTTTGTAATCACAATGCTATCCTGATTTAAAAATTAAATTGAAGATTATATTTATCTTTTACCTTTTCCATTTATTAAAACTGACAGCCGGGGTTTATTTTGGTTTTATAATATCTAAAATGTATTATGTTGCTCATAATACACTTGTAATTGACAGCAAGCATAGGACTGTAGATAATTAATAATATAATTTTCAGCACGGAGAAAGATTTATTGTTGACCAATGTACAAAATCAAGATACAATGAGAATACATTGACAAAGTCAAAAAGTAAAAAAATATAAATTAAAAATAAGTATAAAAGCCTCCTTAAAGAGGCCAATAATAATATATCAAAAACATGGTAAGGCTGTCGGCAACAACACTACTATAACACTTTATTACATGTTAATTACATATCGCATATGAAATTTTATGATCTTACGAACATTTATTACCTAAACAAATAGTTTTAGCATGTAGCATTATCTAATCTTGCGTGATACCTACAAACGTCTATTTTGAACTAGCGGATGAAAATCTTTAGCGTTTAGAAAGAAAATTTTTGTTTGTTGACGGCATTAACAGCAGGAAGTAACAAATCATTATCCAGTGGTTAATTTTAGATATTTATTCTGTTTCTTTGGAATAATTTATTTTGCGGAAAAGGCATCTATTTTCTGATCTGTAACGATCAAAATTAAATACGGGGCCTGAAAAAGTTTTGCAATAGAAAGACAAAATTTGTTATTAAAATAAACAGTTAAGAAATTCAATTGATTGATAATCTAAATCCAAACAGGTTACGAGATTCAGATCTTATTTATAGGTTTTGGATAGATGGTTTGGTTGGATTATAAACAGCTATTTCTTATGACTTCGCCCGCTTAATTTATTTCGCCACTTGATTTTAAACCTTAAAACTTGTTGTTACCCTATCGAAATAATCATAATAACAAAAGCACTACGATATTATTGAATCTCACATACTCACTCAATAATTTGCATACAGTATTTATTTAAATTTAGTTCGACATTTAAAAACCGGTCGGACAGCTCGGGATGTGTTCCATCCAACCTAAAAATAAAAACATTACCCCAAAACAGCTGCGGAGAAGTTTATAGGCAACACAAAAGTCGGTGGTAGAAATAGAAGAATTACATATGATCTTACGTAATAAACATACTGATGAATAGCATTTACTTGTTGTCTGAATACATTTAAAAACGAAAAATAGAATACCATAAATCTTTTCTGAGTTGACTCTTACTCATTTAATAAGAGGCAATTTCATCACATAAATATTGTATAAATAAATGAAACTGAATCCCTTAATATATTCATAAGTACAGCTCAAGAAAATATGGACGAATTCGGTTGTTTTACGATTATGCAACTCAAAAGGAAGAAGCGGAACGATAAATAAAATACTCACACGGTTATCTGTTAATCAACCTAAGTTTGTACTGATTAGGGATGATGACTATTTTTTGTTTGTTTATCCGTCAGGTAGAGTGTTAAAAAATATTAAACATATATTTTTTTATTTTTTTCGTAATTATAAAATTACGGCGCTACATGGATTTGAAATTTCGCATGACGTCACGTTAGGGTACGATTTCTACTCAACTGTGACGTAGCGAGCTCCCACTCCTCAACTTTAATGCCTGTTATCTAAGCTATTTCTTGTTAAATTGAAGTAAAAAAAATACGTATCTAATATTTTTCTATTATCTGACTGACGGACTAAATAGAATTGCATATTTTTTACCCAGTCATTTACTTTCCCGTGCAAGTTCAGCTTCATAAATAATTTTCTAATAATTAATAAATAAATAAACGGATGGGTGAGCCATCGCGTAACGCTATAACTCCAGCCACACCTAACTATTAGAAACTTTTTTTTAATTTTATCAATGAATACGTAAGCTTTCTTTTATGTTATGTGTAGATTATTATTATCTATATCTTTTTTTTTTTCAAACTTTTTGGTCTTTTCTATTGTCAAAATAGCTTTGTTTGTTTAAAATCACCATTTATGAGCATATTGTAATTTCGTCAATTTTAATATTATTACAAAAAATGAAATGGAACATTATTAGGCTGCATATTTAAAAAAAATATATTTTTATTTAAATATGAGACATGAATTACTCAAATTCCAAATGAAGTAGCTTAAGCTCTTGTAATGAGCAAAACTGAAATAATTAACGACACAATATATAACCAAATGTGACCAAAAAATTATTATCTCGAGCTACTCCGTGCTTCGGAAGGCATGTTAAGCCGTTGGTCCCGGCTGCATTTGCAGTCGTCAATACCCTCCAATCCTCATTGGGCCAGCGTGGAGGGTCATGGCCCATACTCCTTAGCCATCCATAAGGAAGGCCTGAGCCCCTGCAGTGGGGACGTAAAAGGGCTGATGATGATGATGATGACAATATATAACAGTTCATTTCCTACATTTATTTGAATCAAATCCGCGACCTCAGAAATGGTGTCACCTTAAAATGGTATGAGTCACTCGGCTCCGCGGAAACGATACGAGGTCTATGGACAGTTTTTACTTTCAATGCTCACATAAAGCCGAAATCACATTATGGAACTAGTTGCAAGACATTAGTTTCATTAAGTTACTTGCAAATGTGAGTCCAGCAGGTCTACTCTGCTAATGTTTATGTAATAATCGCATCTCAATAGAATCTCAAATACTTCCATTTTGCCATTGTACTATCTACCTGAAGTCCAATAATAATAGGGGTTAAAGTATGAAATTGCCGATTTGTACTGATTTTTTTTTAATTTTTAACAAATTTATTTAATCAAAATAGTTACCATTATTATCTATACATTGCTGCCATCTAATAGGAAGGTCAAAATGGCGTCCTAGCTAAGCTAAGCTATACCTCGTTCTAGGTTAGTATATAAAACAAGGCATAGCTTAACTAGGACACGCCTAAGCAGATTACTTTAATTTGAAATATTATTGTTTTCTTTTATCCCTTGAGATATTTGAAATCTGTCATATTTCGTAAATGCCTAACGCAAGGCGCTGAATAACGCATGTTATTACTTTAGATATTACTAACGACAGTTGAAATGTTCCTAGTAAAAATGTATTTTGTTTTATATTGTTATCTTGGATTTTATATCAAATGTGTTTTGACACTGATGTCGTACAAGGCTTTGACATTGACATATCATATTCGTATAAATAAAAGCAATGTGATCTGATATAGGCAGCCAGGTTTATAAAATATGTTTCTATTTTGTTTGCTCAACTAAAATTCTAGCGTCGACTAGGAATAAATGTGCCTAGTCGACGCTAGAATTTTAGTTGAGCGAGTCAGTGAAGATATGCATTTATGTATTGTATTACCTTTTTTTTTATTTAATTTTTTTTTTTGTTGTTGTTATGTCCGCTTGTAATAAAAAAAAAAAAACATATATGTTATAATAATTTAATAACTGCATAGATAATGGTTTCTGCCACTCCTATCTCTTGCTCATTTTGATGTTATCGATTTGATTTGTCGTATTTTATTACGTTTTGTACTGCCACCTCTCTTATAAAACATATTTTAATTTTTTTTTATATAAATTAGCTTTACTGTTTTGTGTTTGCTAGCTGTTTATTTTTGATTCTGCTTGCTTGCTTCCGCTAGTGTTAGTTATATAGCTTACATTATTTTTTTTTCTTTTCTCTCTTTTAAAATGGCTGCTTGTGGGTAATCGAAATGCATACCGATTAAGTAATCTGTTTTTTCCCCTCTCTTACTATTTTTTTTTATTTATTTATTTTCTTTTATCATGAATATCTCTATAAACTCTGATATATTTCATTCTTGCTCTTTACAATCCAGCTTTGATGATAGTCTTAATAGTACGGAATCAACATCCCTAGATGGCCTACTGCATGAAACATTTGATAATATGGGTAAAACCTTGAATATTATTCACATAAATGCTCAAAGCATTCCGGCGCATTATACTGAATTACTTACCTATTTAGTTCATAATAATATACACGCGATCTTAGTGTCTGAGACTTGGCTACATCCATCTGTTTCTTCTTCCTCTTACTCTCTTCCGGGTTTTCGTTTGATACGCAACGACCGTGGTAGCTCTTCTCATGGAGGGGTAGCTATTTATCTCCGTACATGTCTTTCTTTTTCGATAATAAGTCATTCTCCACAACCACCACCAAAAAATACTCGCTGAACATCTCTTCATTGAAATCAGTCTATCCCATAACAAAGTCCTTCTCGGTGTTTTCTACAGCCCGTCTTCTAAAATCGATTTTTTCCATTTATTCGAACTTCTCCTTGAAGATTTTACTCCTAATTATAAACACTCCATTATTATGGGCGACTTTAATACCTGTTTGTTAAAAAACGATTCTCGTTGTCATAAGTTACGGTCCATAATTAATTCATGCAATATGCATATACTTCCCCTCTCTGCGACGCACCATTTTCCTAACTGTATACCGTCTCTGCTCGACCTTATAATGGTGTCATCCCCTGATCATGTTGTGAAGCATGGTCAATTTCCCGCTGATCAATTTTCTTATCATAATTTGATTTATTTGTCGTATCGAATTCGTCCTCCAAAGCGCAAAGCTTCTATCCAACTACTGCGTCACTTCAGTGGAATGGATATTGACCGTCTGCGTGAAGACGCTCGTAAAGTCAATTGGCTGGCAATAGATGTTCTTACTACAATTGATGAACAGATTGAGCTATTTAATTCGTTACTTATTGGACTTTTGGATGCTCATGCTCCTGTGCGACCTGTACGTATCAAGCAC